CAGCCCTAGGAGGGGAATCAGGAGTTGTGGGCTGAGGTAGCCTGGGACCCTGGACTCCTGGGCAGTCTTCCAGGTTTGGGAGCCATGTGGGTTGTAAATCACTGGGATGAGGTGGAGGGATCCAGAGGGTTTCAGAAGGCCCATGGCAAAGCCAAGTGAGTTAGAGAAAAGAAGCACATTGAGAGGGACTGCTGCATTTTCTGGAGTGGGACCAGAAGGGAGCAGACCCTAGGCCGTGGGGTGAATGGGGAGTTGCAGTGGGTTCAAGTAAAGGCCTGTGTACTCCAGAGCAAGGTGGACCTAAAGGCTCATCAAGCTCCCCAGGGAGCCAGACTGAAAAGCCTGCAGCAGATTCACAGATATTGAAAGAGCAAACATAGCTGATCCCCTGAGCTGTGAAGCCAGGTTCTAGAAAGCTTCTTCAGGAAAAGGAGGCACCTGGTGCACTCACTGCATTGCCACATTCAGGGACTGACACTGTTGCCAGGATTTACTTCAGTTTTCAACCAAGCCCACCTCACAGCTGGGTGGAGGAGGTGGGTAAAGATCAGGGCTGTCCCATGATAATCAAACACTGTGTATCTTGCTTCATACACAACTATATAACCTTAAATATTTGTTCCTACTCCCAGCTGTTACTTTCCAAGTAGCGTCTCACCTTCCTGCAACTTCACAACACTATGCCTGTTCTTCTTGCAAAGACACAACAGTCTAAAGGCAAAAATGTGAATGCAGTCTCTTACGGCACCTATACACACGTCAGAGCAGACTCGATTAATCAAGTCTGCTCCGTGTCTGCTGAAGCGTGCTAATTCGCGTGCTCTAGCAGCCTCTGCATCACATGTATTCAGCATCCCCACATTTCAAAATGGTGGTTGGGTTGCTTTAACTAAAGTTTGTCAATTGAGCTTTAATTAAAGCACCCCTGCCACCATTTTGAAGTGCAGGAACCCCAAATACACGTGACGCTGAGGGTACTTTAATGACAGCTCCCCCCAACTCCCACCCCAGAGCACATGCATAAACACCTTTATAGACTGGATACCTTTCTGGGAGATACGTTTTAGTCAGCTAGCCATAGACTCACTATAGAAATACATTAAATAAATTTTTGGCCCATGTTATTCAAGAAGTCAGAAGAGATGATTTAATCACCTGTTCTGGCCTTAAATCTAGGAATGCAAGTAAGGAGGATTCTTAAAACATGTATTGTACATTTATCTACACATTTTAACAGCTCATCGTTATAGATTACAGGCTTGGACACAGCACAGCTTTAAATTGATGTCATTTGCCTTTGTGTAAATATGAAGCAGATATAGAACGCAGGGCTAAATGCTGGAATAAATACACTGAATTCAGTGTAGCTACCCTGGGAAAAAAAAATCAGGCTACCCTGGAATCTGCTCCAGATTCTGATATCATCTACATGGGTATATAAAATCATTGGAAACTAAACTGTTGTAAAAGTGCTGTCTGCCCAGCCCCTATACCATACTACTGGTGACAAGTAACATAACATTACAGCACATTCAGAGACTTATGCTCTTTAGCATGTTCCTGGGACAGAGAAGAGACTGAAAGTAGATTCTTTCTGCAAGGGATAAAACTGAGGGGAAGCACATCTGTGAAAAGTTAACAAAAGCAAACAAGCAAGCTCTACTTACTAGGTCCAAGGCAATAATTGGGATTCACAACAACGACGCCAATGAGGAAGAGCAAAAAACTCCTCCAGAGAATTTTCCCCAGTGCGTTCCACTTTGAACATCCCCGCCTCAGCAGTGAGCTCAGAGACAGTGAAATGGAGCTCCCCATGATAAATACAAACCTACAAAACCAGGTAGCGGTGAAATGAATCAACGCTGGGAAAAACACAAATGTCTAATTCACAAATTCTTCAGGTACCAAATATTAATGTTCTATTTGTGTCATTTTCTAAGGAGAGCCAAAAGAAATCAACCCATCTTGAATAAAAACTGACCGTTTTACTTAGCTTTACTGAGAGGATTATTAGAAAACTAAGTGCACATCACATCTTTATCCTCCTTACACCAATAAGATGGAGGCACTGAATCCACGGAAGTAATGGCATATATCAGGCCTTTTTGTGGTATGAATGTTTTAGCAAATAGAAAATCACATTGCCTATGATAAAAATCAGTATTTTGACTAGAGAAAAGCTGAGCCACAAGGCTAGGGTCTGGATTTGCACTCCAGTATGGTCTGCCCCTAGGTTTGGAACAAGGGAATCATCAGGCTGGATCGGACCCACGGTCCATCATAGCCCACCATCTGGATCAGGCAGAAGGCAATACCCAATGCTTCAGAGGAAGGCAGCTATAGCATGATCTGCCTCAGAAAGTTATGAAGAGGTTGCCTGAATCCAAATGCCTCTTTTTTAACTATTTTACCTTTCCCATACCTTGGCCAACAATATCCTGTGGCAATGAGCTCCACAGATTCATAACCGAGTGAAAAAGTATTCCCTTCACCAGCTCTGAATTTGCTTCAGTACTGAAAGTCCCCATGTCCTTGTGCTAAGAGACAGGGACATAGAGATGATTCCAATAACCAGATATAGCATGGTGCCCTTGTAAAGGCCAACATAAACCATGATGTCATCCACCTTGGCCCTGACCAATTTTCACTTGTCACCATCTAACAAAACACCACTCCTCAAAATGCATTTTCCAAATGGGTTTGAGCTGTACTGAAGCGACATGGTCCACTGCAGGACTCTTTTAAACTTACCTTCAAAACTATTCATCACAAAGACTTACCATGGAAACACAAGATCAGCCACTGTTAATCCTACAAGGAAACAAAAAAAGATATGTTATTTCCCTTAAAAGAATGAACTTCCCAAGTCTCTGAAGGAGCTACAGAGCACTTAAAATTATTTGACAGACACATTCTTCAGCTGCAATCTATTAAAAGCTATTAACAACTAACTACTCTGTTGGTTAGACCTGTTTGATCTGTCCCTTGTGTTGTTTTCTGAAACACTGTCTGAAACAGTAGCTGTGTCATAATAAGATTTCTGATGAGGGATCTTCACTGCTCTCTATCAAAGCAGCACAGCACAACACTGCTGAATGCATGGTTGTCATTGACTGCATGTCTCTAAAGCATCTAGTTTGCTGGTACTCTGAACTGGTTGTGCCCTCTAGGCCCAGTCACAGTATAATTATTAAATAAAAAGCAAAAATGTATGATCAAAGGTGGAAGCTGAAAAGCCATGCAGAGATTTCTATATGATACTTTCCCAAGATTATCTCCTATCAAGAATAGCCAGTATTCCTCTTCTTAGGTATTATGGGGCCAGATCCTTCACTGATGAATATTGGCATAGTTTCTCTAGTGTCGATAGAGCTACATCGTTATACACTAGTTGCGAAGCTAGCCTTGCCTGTCTATTTCTATGACTGAAGTCTGGATTACTGTTCAAAGCATACTCTACCATTCCAGCTCTGATGCTTGAAGAACCAATATTTTCCTCCTCCATAATTAACAAATATCATTATGATGAGAGAGAGCCTAAGAAAACATAGAAGATAATAAAAATAAATATACAGGATTATAAAGCAATAAACTACAAATGCAAACTCACAGTTATTTTTATGCCATTAAAATATGTTTAAGTGTTTCTCCTTTTAAACATAATTATAAGCAAAACACTTAAATTTCCTGTGCAGGGGACAGAGGTTCAGAGGAAACTGAGTTATAAGGGCATCTGAAAAAGTTACATTACTATGCCTTAGTGTGATGTTTTCCCCCATATTCCCATTATATGAACACTGAAGGAACTACAGACAGGTATCACTCGGTCTGCACTACTGACTTCTCATACTCTTTCAACCAATACAGCTTCCAAATGTTTCAGGAAGTCCAGGAGCTAGCTGCCTGATGGTTTTTCTGATAAAAAAGACCCCCCCTAGATTGTCAGATCCCTAAGTCACTGTATTCACTGAATGCAGCAATTAATTCTGTGTACTTCACAAACTTCATTCAGCAAGGTATGATCAGCCATCTGAAAATGAGGAATAAGTATCATTCCTCCCACTGTAGAGCAGTTAAATAAGGAAAAAAATAGTTATGACAAAAAATTCTGGACTAGGGAGGTGGACAGATAAGTCGTGTTTTTGCTTATATAACCCTCCATGAAGAAAGAAGAATTATTTTGCATAATAAAAGGAAGTGTAACTCATAATCATATGATGCTTCCCTTGAGAAAGGAAATGTCAGGAAAAGCTTCTTATCAGCAAGTTGTCAACCTCTGCAATATGCAAGAAGAAAGGGTTTGGGTTTTTTTTGGTAATGTCTTTTATAGGATCAACAGAATAGCTAGGAGAGACGTTAGATAAGCTTTCCAGCATAAAGTGCCCTTTTTCCACTCTATACAGTGTATCCATTAAGAGTCATTGCCAAAAATATGCTTGCCTCTCAAATACTTCCTTGGCTCACATATTTCCCCAGCTACAACAACACTCTGGGCACATCCCCACGAGTCTGCACATGTGGTTTGTGGCACAGCAAACCACACGCAGCACACATATACCCATGTGCTGCACAGCTTATTTGCAGCGCATTTTTTTTTTGACACTGAGAGATCTGATATCCCAGTGCCACCACCACCCAAAAGCAGGGCTGGCAGGGCAAAGGCAGGGGCTCCCCTCTGCAAGCCACAGAGGCACCTCCTGGCCAGCTGGATGCAGGGGGCGGTAAGGAAACTTGCACACAGCGGCCACCGCTGCTGCCACATACAAGCCATTCCCAGCTCCAGGTCTGGCCACCACCACCCCCTCCCCCATTCCCTGTCCAGCCACTGCCACCCTCCTCCCCTCACTCCACCAGAAGTGTACCCAGAAGGGGTATACTCCTTAAAAAAGGTTGAAAACCCCTGTCACGGAGTTTTAGCTTGCTAGCATATACACACTGCTCACCTGTGGCACAGGGCCGGTTGCAGGCTGGATCCGGCTCCCAGACTCACTCCCTTCACCCACCCCCTGCATACTTGATCTGCTGGCTGCTCCAACTGGTTTGGGACCCAGGCTGTGTGCAGTGCAGATCCCAAAGTGCCGAGAACAAGCATGGTGTGTATTACAGTCCAGCCAGAGCAGCATGCAGTCACTGCCCCAGCATGACTGGGCTGCAGTGTCTATTCCAGCTGCTGTGGAATCCATGGTGCACGCAGTGCAGGGTCCAGACCAGCTGGAGATGCCACCAGATCAGGTACACTGGGGGAGAGGGAAGATGAAGAGGTCCATGGACTAGACCCAGTGAGCCACTCAGGCTGGCTGAGTTTGACACCTTTGGACTAAGAGAATCAGTGAGGCTTAAGTTTTCATGAGCTCACAAAAACTTGTGCGTGTCTGATTCAGTTAGTCTATAAGGTGCACTTCTACCTTGCCTTCTGCCTGACTTCAGACTAACATGACAAACTACTGTTCTGTTCCCTCAGAGTGAAAGTTTCTGACCGTGACCATAATGCCACTCATTCAAACTTAGAAAAGCTTTGAGTTGAGCAATACAAAAGCCGCTGCAGCTGCAATTTACCCTCGGAATGTGTCGAGGGAGCGCAGGCGCCTCTGGGAGACACTCCACACACTCACACCGTGGTCACCGGTAACAGAATCTGCTCCAGTTGGGGATCCCAGCTCCTTTGAAACAGAAACAATACATGAAAGGAAAGTGCTAGGTGGCCCCTACAACTCTGAAGTCTTAACCTTTTGGACAACCGAACTCAGCAAGCTGAGGCCTTGGGATTTGAAACACTTTTAATTCCTGTAATTTTATTTTTCCGATTTCTCTCCTTTCTCCACTGTGGTAACTTCCCACATTTCTCATTTTGTACTTCTTCCCAACACGGGCTCGATCACACTGCTAGACCTGTGCTGCTCCTTTAACTAGGGTGGGAAGAATGGTCTTGTGAACACCACACTGGACCATGGCTGGATTCATGTCCAAGGTTAGACAGAGTCATAGTGTGATTGCAAGACAATTGTTCAATTTACCCTGGACCTCAGTTCCCCAAGTGTAAAGAAAATACTTATTTTACGTATCTCACACTATTGCTTCAGGGACAAAACTATGAGATCCTCAGACACCACAGCAATGAAGACCTGGTGAGAACCCAGGCTATTCACAGAAGAAAAAGAGTGCACTGTGGGACAGTTGCATCTAGGGTGGACCGAGCACACTGGCCAGACTTGGATCTCATTTACATCTGTGTAAATAGAGTGATTCCAGTAATGACTGATCTTCCAAGGGGTTAACAGTGCAGAATTAGTTCCCAACACTTTCAGGCTCTGGTCTTCCACAGAGAAGTCTGACCTGATTTCAGATCATCCCCCTAACTGCCTGTAGCACTGGAAGCAGACAAAGAACTAGAGGTGCTTTCCCTCTTTCACTGTCCCTGTCACAAGGGGTTATTCTTTCAGTGGCATATTTCTTTCACTGAAACTAAAGAGTAGTAAAAGCTGACTGAATAGGAGCCAGAAGGGTTATCTAAATTAAACCTGGGTGCAGAGCCCCATGCAGTTCTCTCTACAGACTGAAAGAGCTGTCTGTCCTCATTGCACCAGTTGTCAGGGAACCCACTCATGCAAGGGATGTGGCTGCCAATTTACTGAATCCCCAAAACGGCTAACTGATGTGAGCTCTGAGTGTGAAAACACAGACAGTGAATAAGTACAGTCAAGTAACTCACAGAATTAATGAGACGATCAGTTTCTCTAGGGTTCAGTTTCTTATGAAGCCAATTCTTCACTGGATCCATGCTGTGTATTAACAACAATTAACCAAAATCATAATATGTCTTATTTATCATGAATACCAAATTATACCTTGATCACAAAGTAAGTTGGAGTAGTGTACATCAGAGGCTGAGATAGTCTCTATTGCAAAAAAGGCTTTCACTAGGTAAAATGCTAATACAGACACTATGCAAAAAGCTTTGTAAAAAAGACTTAAGCTGGCAAAGTCAAACATACAAAAGTTAGGAAATACTAGAATTAAATTGATCCATGCAGCTCTAATTCATCCCAATTCTGCACAGACATTATGGTAATGGTCAAATAACTACATGATCACAAGCTCCAAGCATGGGGGTAGGGTACAGTACAGTTGCAACTTACAGGTATTTAACTTACACAAATTCAGCTTTACGTGCTCGGCTGCTGGGGCACAGCGCGTAGTGCAGCGCTGCGCCGCATGGTATTGCCGGCATGTGCCGGCATGGCTGAGGGACTCGCACTCAGCTGGCTGCCCTGGCAGGATGAGGCGACAGAGGACGAGAGGGGCGAGAATGGAGTACTGTTGCATGGCACGCATGGGCTGTGCGGCACCACGGCCCCCTTGTCCAGGACCGGTGGCAGTGGCGGCTGCTCGGTGCCAAAGCCTGGCGAATTCAGCTATACGTGATTTCAACTATACGCACTGACTTTGGAACGTAACCCCCACGTAAGTTGCGATTGTACTGTAATTTCTTTTGTTTGCACATAGGACGGCCTGCCTCATTCAGTGTACAGGATAGAGGGCTATATAAAAATAAGGCATGCGTTTAAATCCCAGTGAGGTCAGTGGGATTTAAGTTCATGCTGAAGTACTATCCTGAACTTTTCTGAATATGAGGCATTTCTGAATCAAGGGCATCCATATTGCTAACACCAGTGGTGAACTGAAAGACTGACTGTATTAAATTCCACTACAGTGGATCCAGTTGGGGTATTTCAACACTTAGAAAACAGTAACTATATGATAGTAAAATAACATGCATCTGAACTGTTGTGCAGGACCCCTGAAGCAAAGTATAGCAGTTTCTTGGAAAAGCAATAAAGTATGTGCTTAAGTTCTTTTCTGAACAGAGGCTAACATTCTCCCTACTTATTCAATCTTCCTCCTGTTTCTTGTGCCGAAGTCCAATATGGCAAGTAAAATACAGCAAGTTACTTGGCATGAAATGAACTGCTATTCACTCAGCAACATAACAGATATAAGGCAATGAACTTAGGAGTTGGAAAAAGGCAACAGAACAGCAGCCTGGCAAACATGGCTGAGGCAACAGGAATGCTATCCTCCTGATGGTATACTAGATACCTGCCCCAGCACTGGCTTACAAAGCCTTTTATAAGAAAGAATTTGTTAATTCTCTAAAGCCTACTTTAATCATTGGCCCTTCAGTGAGGCTGGACACTAGTGCCTGTCAGTGATAAATTGATGCAAAGGTCCCACAGCCACAGCACCAATGGCTGGCAGACAACTGAGATATCCAGTCATTACCAAGACAAAAGAAAAAGGTTAGGTCCTATTATCACCTTTGTGAATCACCCAGTCTCACCCAGTTCCCATCATCTCAAAGTAGCACTACTCCATTCAGTCAGAGGTCAATTTGTCTAATACATTTCTTGTTCTCAAATTAAAACCTTGGCTTAGCCTTTGAAAGACAGTTTAAAACCAGACCCTAAAGAGGTGCAAACTGATACAATTCTACATCTTCACCAAAAAGAAGGACTTAGTTTATAAACTACAAGTCCATGACTATGGCTCTCAGGTGCTATCACAATACAAATAATAATTCTAGCAAGCATGCTTTAATCTGCAACAAAAATCCAGGAAGCTCTCCCTCATACACAGGGATGTTTTACAGATTATGTGAACTTACTTTATAAAAAAGTGTCCCGAAGTCAAGATGCTGAGGATTCCCATATAAATAAGGAATGCATACAAGATAGCTGTATAAAAAAAAAAAAAGACGGCTCATCTAATAGAAACAACAGGCACCCTGGGCCAGATACACTGATGCATTATACTGAACCAAACACTGCAGAAACAAAGTAGTGATTCAGGCCCCCTGTATAGTATGGCAATCTGCATAGTACTGTAATCTGAGAAAGCTCCAGCCAAAAAGAAAGGACATTAGGTTGAAGTGCAGCCTCCTGAGAGTAAATTTCAGTGTAAACAGAAGCAAAGCAACCAAATTACAAATATAGTTGTAGCAGAGTGGCTATGGAAAGATTCAGTTTGGTATCAGCTGTAAAGGAAGAACTGGCCAGATTAAGCAGCAGCATGAATGTAGAGTAAGGGAAGCAAGGATGACACACTGAGTTTGTAAATATGGGGGATTTCTCTATAGAGTTTTAGGGACAGGAAGGATCAAAGAACCATCTCTTACAAGGATTAAGAATGAAGGAAGATACTGATTAGAGTTTGGAATGGTTCTGGGAAGAAGAGGGGAATGAGACAAAAGGCATTAAAATACAAGTAAATAAAAGTAAAGGGGTTAGTAGAAAAAGTATGAAAAAGGGGTTTAAAATTCTGGCTGGAAGCAAGATATAATTGTGGGATACTGGAAAAAAGGAACATGGGTGTGCATGCACATGTGTGCAGGTGCGTGCATCTGCATGTGTGTAAAAGAGAATCAGGATCTAAAACTTCAAACATAATGTGAGTACATGCCTTCTGACACTTATTGCTTATTTGAGCCTGTCTTCTCCAAGCTGATTTGAGCCTGTCTTCTCCAAGCTGATTTGAGCCTGATTCCAAGCTCTCTGGAGCACAGATGGGCTCATACTTATGATTCATGCATGACCCCTGCAGAAGGCTATGGGGTCCCAAGGCTTCTAGGTGCTGATGTGACATACTAAAATAGAAGACAAAGTGCAAGAGCAGGCCAGTGATATTTCCCTATAAATACACTGTAATGGCCTCGTAAGGGGTGGGAGACTGTGCCATCCCAGGTTTTGTATACAGTCCTCTCTATGGGACAGGTCACAGTCACAGAGCAAAAGGAAGCCATCCCAGAGGGAATTCTAGTGGAAGAGCATTGCCAACTCTGCTTTTAAGGCCTAAGACAAGAGTTTCACTCTCCTCACTTGGGACATGCCTGGCTCACAGCAGTTCTCAAATGACCTTCTCTGGTATCCAGCAAGACAGGGTTGTGGCAGTAAAGTTTCCAGGGGGATGTGGAAGTACATGCATCCTCTTTTCCCCATTTGAAAAGAAAAATGCCTCCACATCTCTCAGTGTTGGAAGTGGTTTTGAGAAACACAACTGGGAAGACATGATACAGATTAAAAATAGCACCCTATGGGCAAGTGACTATGCATTTTAAATATGGGCAAGGTTTTTGATCTGGTGTGGCCTGCCCAGGGGAGAAGTCAAACACCAAGTCAAGAAACATAAGGAGAGAGGAAAAGGAAAATGCTGTACCCAGGTCAAGAACTTGGTGAAGTATCTGTTGAGGTATCAGCCAAGGAGTTCTGTGATGGCCTTCATGAAAACACACTGTTGAAAGGAGGTAGCAAACACCAGTCTGAACAGGGTCAATAAGAGACTTTGCAACAAGGAAAGTAGAGGATGGAATCCTAAGCAGCTAGAGGGGGAGAAGCTGGAGAGGGCAAAGGAAGGTTTTGTCTTAAGATGGGGAGATGGAGACATATTTGAAGATCAAGAAGTGTGGTGAGCAGCAGAAGTTAAAAATGAAAAGGAAAGGGGAAAGAAAGTTGTTAGAGAGGAGAAGAGGTGATAGGGTCAGCAGTGGTAGGAAGTATGTAGCAGATAAAAAGTGTCTACATGTGGGTAGCAGATAAAACATGTCTACATGTTAATGAACATGTCTACATGTTCATTAATGTGCTTTAGGTAATACGCATTAAATCTAGTACCTCCATTGTGAGGTACTAGAAAAATGAGGAAACCTATGAGCAAACCCTAGAGATCTTCAAAATAAGATTGGATGCACACCCTGCTGGGGTTATTTGACTTCAGCAATCTTGCCTTCCCAGAGCAGGGGGGCTGAGCCCAATTATCTCACAAGGTCCCTTCCAGCCCTAAACTTCTGTGAATCTGTGAGCATTAGCCTACTTTGATGTGCATTAGCTAAAGGGCATGGCTTTGTAGTGATGCTTTAATGCTCATTAAAATAGGCTAATGTGCATTAAAATGCATGTGGAGATGTGCACTTGATGTCTATGAAAGGGAGCTGAATTTGAGAGAACTGGGGGGCATCTAAAGAAGGGGATTATTGTCACAAATCATATTACAATATCTGAAGAAAACTGAAGAATCTTGGGTCAAAAGGAAGGCAAGGGAAGAAAGAAGGAGGATCTGAAGAGAGAGCTGAAGCCAGAGGGAGAGCAATGAAGGATGGAAGGAACATGGCCCAACAGGGCAGAGAAAGAAAACTGTTCATCAAGGAAAAGGGCAGAAATCAAAGAAGAAAGAACATAGCTATCATGAAGGAAATTATTGTGGCCACTGGATTTACTCCAGATGTGAGTTATGTCAGTAACAGATGCTGTATGGCAAGAGAGCAGGAGCAAAGAGGGTGGATGCTGAGGTTGGGTAGAGGTTAGAGTGGATAGAAAATATTTAACTCAGGGATTCACTTAAAAAAAAAAGGCTAAAAAGACTTTTAAAAAAGGATCTTATCTAAAAGGAGAACACTTGCATTATACAAGTTAAAAAGGAAAATAAAGTGCCACATACGGAGGTTACTGTTGACAGGACTGGCATTGATGTCTATGGTGCAGGAGACATTTGTCGTGCTTCTGTAGAGCCTTTTTACCATGAGGGAATAGTTTCCAAACTCTCCAAAATGATAGTGGATCCTGAAAAAAAAAGTCAGGGGAAAACAGAAGAGAACTGGAGCTACAGCATGCTGCATAGTTAGAAGGCCATGCAGCAAGCACTGCTGGACTGCAGACCAGACAAAAAGTAACGTGAGCTGGCCGTGGAAATAGTGCCCTGGGAAGACAGACAGGAATATTCCAGGAAGTCCACAACCCATAACATCCTCCCTGAGTGGAAGAGAGGTGACTTTCTCCCCCACGCTAGCAAAAGAGAAAGTGCTTATAAGACTCAGAGCCTATCATGCCTGCTCCAAGATTTCTCTATTTCCTTTTCAATAGACTTTCCTATATCACCTTCCACACTCATTTCCATGTCAATCATCTCTCCAGTATAGAAAGTGCTACCCTCATTTTT